ATATATATTATATATATATCATATATATATATATTATATATATATTATATATATATTATATATATTATATATTATATATATATATTATATATATATCATATATATATATATTATATATATATATTATATATACATATATATATATATATATATATATGTATATATATACGTAATAACTTCGTATAGCATACATTATACGAAGTTATACGAAATAAAGCGAGAAAGGGGGGAGGAGAGGGAGAGAAAGCGAAAGAGAGGAGGAAGAGAAAATGAGAAATATAGGAAGAAAAGCGAGAGGAGGAGGAAAAAAGGAGAAAGAGAGGGGACATATGTATCACTATGCTATCTTCTTTTGCTTTTGTTAAGTGTATCATAAAATTAGATAGTCAAAACTACATAGAACAGGTGATTGTACTAAATCTTTCATGGCAAAATGAAATAGATTAATTCAACATATTTTACGTACACTTGCGTCAACGAGATGCTCAAGGACGGAAGGTTCCATCTTTTGCACCTCGGTCCCGGCAGCTGCCTTCCTCCTCCAGAAGACGCAGTTGTGTGTGAACAATATGCCTAAGGCCGAATGGTCCCCCCTTTTGCACCTAGGCCCCAGCAGCTGCCTTCCTCCTCCAGCAGACGCAGTTGTGTGTGAACAATATGCTTAAGGCCGAATGGTCCCCCCTTTTGCACCTAGGCCCCAGCAGCTGCCTTCCTCCTCCAGCAGACGCAGTTGTGTGTGAACAATATGCCTAAGGCCGAATGGTCCCCCCTTTTGCACCTAGGCCCCAGCAGCTGCCTTCCTCCTCCAGCAGACGCAGTTGTGAGTGAACAATATGCCTAAGGCCGAATGGTCCCCCCTTTTGCACCTAGGCCCCAGCAGCTGCCTTCCTCCTCCAGCAGACGCAGTTGTGTGTGAACAATATGCTTAAGGCCGAATGGTCCCCCCTTTTGCACCTAGGCCCTAGCAGCTGCCTTCCTCCTCCAGCAGACGCAGTTGTGTGTGAACAATATGCCTAAGGCCGAATGGTCCCCCCTTTTGCACCTAGGCCCCAGCAGCTGCCTTCCTCCTCCAGCAGACGCAGTTGTGAGTGAACAATATGCCTAAGGCCGAATGGTCCCCCCTTTTGCACCTAGGCCCTAGCAGCTGCCTTCCTCCTCCAGCAGACGCAGTTGTGAGTGAACAATATGCCTAAGGCCGAATGGTCCCCCCTTTTGCACCTAGGCCCCAGCAGCTGCCTTCCTCCTCCAGCAGACGCAGTTGTGAGTGAACAATATGCCTAAGGCCGAATGGTCCCCCCTTTTGCACCTAGGCCCTAGCAGCTGCCTTCCTCCTCCAGCAGACGCAGTTGTGTGTGAACAATATGCCTAAGGCCGAATGGTCCCCCCTTTTGCACCTAGGCCCCAGCAGCTGCCTTCCTCCTCCAGCAGACGCAGTTGTGAGTGAACAATATGCCTAAGGCCGAATGGTCCCCCCTTTTGCACCTAGGCCCCAGCAGCTGCCTTCCTCCTCCAGCAGACGCAGTTGTGTGTGAACAATATGCTTAAGGCCGAATGGTCCCCCCTTTTGCACCTAGGCCCCAGCAGCTGCCTTCCTCCTCCAGCAGACGCAGTTGTGTGTGAACAATATGCCTAAGGCCGAATGGTCCCCCCTTAAGCGCCTAGGCCCAAGCAGCTGCCTTCCTCCTTCAGCAGACGCAGGTATCCACTCCTCTTTCCTTTTGACACTCTCCTCAGCAAGCAAACGCCCCGCAAGGAATAGCTGGATAAAAGGACGTTTCGTCAGGCAGACCAGGAGAGCAGAGGGAGTCACGGCATACACCGCTCCGCCTCTGCACCCAGGGCACGGGTCTCTCGTGGGGTCACACCATTACCTCCCCAAATAAACATTCCAGCATTGACCCTTCATTCACCTCCTCCACGCCCACAACTTTATCACATCGTGCATTCTACTTTCTCTTTCGCCACTTCTTTGGCCTTAGCAAACAAAAGTTCTCGCAAGGAATAGCTGCATAAAAGGATGTCTCGTCAGGCAGAGAGGCAGAACCAGGAGAGCAGACGGAGAACGGCAAACGGCAGACAGAAGACAAGACAGTCTCAGACGCCCGTCACCGCTCCGCCCTCGGCACCCGGGGCTCTGGTCTTTCGGGGGGGTTTCCCTACTCCTTCGCCAATAAACCCTCCAGCCAAGACCCTTTCCATTCCACCTGCTCACAAACCCAACCTCATCACACGTGGCCTTTGTTAGAAACAAATACGGTACCTATTACTGTGTTTTGAGAAAGGTGACAGTAAACAGAGCCCCAAAAAATAATCAGGAAAAATTTACAAACGACGAATTCGGACATAGTGAGGCTAATTATAATTTTCCCTACTCTCTCTCTTTCATGACATATTAAAAAACAAACAAACTCTGAACTGGTGTACTATTATAAGAATTTAGCACAGATTCCCTAAATAACATAATGATAATCAGCCAGGTATATAATCTTACATATACGAATATAGGTATAGAGAGACATCATGCATTTGTTCCTTTATTGACTCAGGACTCACTCTTATTACCAGTACTATGGCTTGGTTTCTCTTTAAACTGGTTATGTAACTAGAAATAAAAGCAAAGCTTTGTTTCAATGACAATCTATTTCTTGAGAGACAATATAAACTATGGAGATAATGCTTCTGTTTATGCTATTCCCAAAAGATCTTAAACAGTACAAGTATTGTGTTACATTTAAGAGCTACAAAAGTCAATTCAAATGAGGTCTTGAGGAAGGCCGCGTCCATATTCATTGGTGTACCAAGAATACCACCTAATACCCCACACTGCAGTTATAACAGTGACAAAATACCAATCATAACTGATATGGTAGCTTTATGGTATGGTAACGGCTACTGCTTCCTAGTAATATTTGTGAAAACGCTCTGGGTACAGCAACTTGTTCATCTTCTTCGGTAAATTCCTCCAGAATTCCAAGTCCTGTAGAAATGAAATAGAAGTTTAATCCATGCATAGAAATCCCTCGTACTATATGAAGGCCATGTCACCTTAAAAAGCCAACTGCCTTGTCAAAATCCTAGTTACGGAGGAGAAAGAACTGAAAAAAAAAGCATTTCAAAGACAAGTAGGCATAAAGTACTAGCTAACTTCTTATCAGGTTGTTGAGATAAAGATAGTCAGTGTGATGCGTGTATAGCAACATCTGAAAGAATCTTTGCAGTTTAAAGGATAGATGTTTACATTGATCCTTATTACTTGTCGACTGACAAGGTATGAATTACCACTAACATAAAAGGAGCGTTCAAGTAAACATGCCGCAAATTGTAATTTTTCTTTAAATATAAATATTTTAAAAAATCCACACCAGTATCTTGAAACATGTTTGCGGGTTTTCAGCCATAAGGAGAAATATCAAATAAGTATGCAGACACATCTTAATCAGTGTTTTCAACATGTTCCAAACATGTTTGTATGTACAAGGCCTATGAATATGTTATCTATATTACCTGGCGATCGTCGACCACCTTCATGGTTGGGGAAGAGGTGATTCCGAGGTAAGAAGTCTTCGAGACCTCTGTCGGTGTCCATTTGAAACCCAGTGACATGTCCGGCGTCGGGTCGCTGGAGATATAGTTAAATTCTTTATGTGCAATTAATTCACAGAACCATAATCTGTTACAAGTTTAATGATATCTTTTTACAAATAGGTTTTATTGGTATTAGGTTCTTGATGAGATTTAGTTTTTCTTGTAATTGTTATGGTTTAGGTTGTCAATGTCTCTTACCCAGTGGCGGCGAAGTTGGTCCAGAGGTCTACCATGATCCGAGACACAAAGAAATCCTCTTCCGTACTCAGGCTGATGTTGAGATATTTAAAGTCGAACAGGTACTGCAAATCGTCCATGTGGCTTACATCTGTGTGAATTTATGGTGGTTATTACAGACAATTACTTAGAAAAGGACAAAATGTACATTGATAATGAAGTAGGTTGCTATATCAATGAAATTTCTAGTCTCATGTCATTACAATATATATATATATATATAATTTATGTATATACATATATTTATATACATGCATACATACATACACAGAATCCATACACATATACATTCACATATATTTGCCAATAATAATAATGATGGTAATATCAACAATAACAACAATACAAGTCCTTACCATTCAATATCCAATCAGGTGTAGGTCCCATGTATAGGTCAGTGAAGGTATGTTCTCCACGATGCTGCAACTCGTAGGCGTAGACACTGTTGCCAAAGGCAGTATTTCTTGCATGGTTTTCTATAGCATCCATGGTGCACATATTGAAGTAACAGTCACCAATGAGCTTGGGATGAACAAGAATGATATTAGGCCTACGTACTGCTCTCAAAGAAAAAAAACAAAAAAACTCACCTTCATTATTCTATTGATAACTCCCTGTTTTTTTTTTTAACATATCAGAAAAATAGGTGACGGTGTTGCTCAATTTTTATTTTTCACCAAGAAAATAATGAGTGTAATATTCTCCAAGAGAACACCTGTTGCAAATCCCAGAACCATCCTGCATGCAAACACAAACAGCTCAGATACCTTTCACTGATTGAGAAGAAAACTAATATGAAACTCACGAACCGAACAATGCAAAAATGGTCCTGTCTCCCGGCTTCTTACCTTGACCAGGGTGTGGACCTTGCTCATGTCAAACTCAATGGGACCCATGTACCGGTGGAAGATGAGGCGGCCAATGAAGTCAATGTTGTCGTCCCAAACATTTATCTCCATTATATAGGGGCCTATCATGCCGAAGCTCTTTATCATAGCGTCCACTACGCCGTCTTTCAAGAACGCTGGAAGAATGAAACTATCAAGATTTTGAAGGTTAAATTGGTCATATCACTCAAAATCGCCACATTATCCCAAGACATATGACAGGAGTAACTAATCGCATATGGCTAGAATTAACGTTCCTGAAGATACCATGAAAGACGCTGACCCACTTACTTCGGACATTAAGCGCGCCTTCGTCTCGTGTCTTGCCGGCGATGATGTCGACACGGTTGTAGCGGCCTTCCCTGACCAGCGTGGCGGGATGGTCCGGGAGGAACTCTCCGTCCACGCGGGGGCCCATCACGTAGGGGGATGGCTTGGAGTTGGGCAGGGATATGGAGATTAGCTTTTATTACTCTAATAACTGGGTTTAGCAGGGGAAAGGCCTCTTGCAATGCATAAAAAAAAGAGAATTCTGCATGAGGATGGCAAAAAAATAAGGATTTAGGCCTATATTTTTTTACTTACTAGCTGGGTAGAGGATGAATGAATGATTATTCATATTCAAAAGCAAGTTCACATATCTTTGGTGAATTACAACAACTTTATATACTCCATCTATAATTCTATAATTCATCTTTTGTCCACAAACTAGGTAAATAATGAAGAAATTTTATTGTGAATAGTAATTTCTGTCAGCTATTTTGGGGGTTATTTTTATTATTGTGACGTCATCAAACAAGCAAGCTTCCTCTGGAGACAGTTTGAAAATTTTTGGATTGGTAACAAAGCCAAATCAAGTATCTGACCAAGAAGTACGAAAAAAATATATATCTTCAAATATCTTGTTGTCAAACTGCACCAAACTATTAGAACTTCGCTAAGTTTTGATCAAAGACAAGAATAGGAAAATTGTTTGTCTTCCCCTTTCGCCTAACGAGACCCCAGTGGGAGAAGGTTAGCATCAAATAACAACATGAAGAGAAGACACAATCCTTGGATAAAAACAAGCCTACTAGTTTGAGAAGCGCAGCGGTCAGCTGATCAGCAGGGACCTTCTTCAGGCATTCAATAAGGTCTGCAGAATTCGGATTCTCTGTCGCTCCAGGACAGTCCAAGATGCTACCGATCTGACCTGCCATGTACCTATGGTCCTCCCGAACTGACCAAGAGCACAAAGCTGTTCCTGACTGCATGATGGCTCGCTTGAACAAACCTATGGCCGGCAAGAAATAACAGTGAGGTAAAATTAAATGGTCAATAGAATACAACGATTTACTTTTTACAATGAGACGAGATGGAAAAGTTTCCTTATAAAACTGCTAAATGTGGTCTTGCTTCATCACGCTTTTCCAGATATCAGTGAAATAAACTGAAACTGTAGAGAGAAGCAGTTGCATTACCTTTACCATTCATCTCTAAGAACATTTATGTAACTCTATTCGGTAAAAAATAAACATTTCCATTCTACCTTTCGACATTGGAGACAAAATGTGGTAGTGCACCGACGCGCCTCCCGCGTTCTGTCCAAAGATGGTGACCTTGTCTGGGTCACCGCCAAGGGCATGAATGTTGTCCTGAACCCACTTGAGGGCCAATGTCTGGTCCTTCAGCCCTAGATTGCCCGGGAGCTCAGAGTCCTCAGTCGAAAGGTATCCTACAGAAGCAATTATCCTGAATTACTGAAGCAAGAATGAGAAGGGTGTGCGTATTTCATGCTCTCACGTTATCATACTTTTGCAAACCGACAGAATTTCACTTTCAATCGCATTATGAGAGAAATGATGTGTACAACTTGATTTATACAACCAAAGAATCCCAATGTTCATTATGAAGTCCACTGACATTCATAACTTGAAGACCCAGAGTATAGACTTGCTATGTGAAATGCATGTTGTGCATATATCAAAACTATTGGTGAAATATGGAGTATACCTTTAATATTAAGCAAAGGTACATTGTTTTCAAAAATGATATAAAACCAGTAGGATATATTCTATAGATACCTTCTGTGAGTCACCTGTACTTGATGAACATATACATGACTGTTCTAGATCTACCATATTTGGTAGATCTAGAACAAACACGCACACACGTATGCCCACAATTAAACTGTATTGTCCTCTCACAAACAGAACACAAAAAATGGTAATGAAAAGAATATTTGCCGTTTAGTAAATGTCTTCATCTGCACCGGAACCGCACACTGCAATGTCTCCACGTATGTCATTCTGTGGATTTCTCTGGTATTGGCTCATTGCCTTTCAGAAATCGCTCCACCTCGTTTCCCTCTTGTGATCACTCTACCCCTGCTAGACCTGATCTTCGTCGCTTTACCGAATTCCGTCCCTAAAACACTACGCTACACACTACAAAAGCCTACATCTGCTGTTGCTACGTTTCCAATTCTATGGCTCCCGATAAAGTCCAACAAGTCCCTACATCAAATGGCGCCAACCGTTATAAAATAAGAACCTTGGAGTTGAAGACTTAAAGGCCCAATCACACTAGCACTTTTCCGTCATTTTTTTACGTTTCCGAATGAACTCCGTATGAAAATCATGTAAAGAAACATGACGCTATCGGAGTGAGGTCCCGGGAATTACACGAACATTCTCATACATATTAGGTTATTTTAAAGAAATATGAAGATGTATTATTGTATATTCGAATGTTCTAAAATATTATTAGCTTATGTTTACATTCACTCATCCTATCTAATTTATTAATAGCACAAAATCAACATGGAAATTAGGCAGACGGAAACGGTCGTAACCGTCTTGGTCTGGGAGGCGTTCCGTTTGTAGACGATCCTTGTGGAGAAAGAAATTGACGGAAAAGTGATAGTGTGATAGGGCCTTTAGTTTGGGTTTTGTACTTTTTAGACTTTCAGGATCACTGTAAGCATGCCATACACCCTAGTTGGGTTCTTGGCGATATCAGAAGTGGTCAATCTTCAATTTTGAGATGTTTTCAGCATATAATTAGTCACATATTGGCTAAATTTTGCTAGATTATTACACAGTAATTTAAAAAGCAGTAGTCTGAATCCTAACCTTCTACAATTGAAAAGCGAATAGAAAAATTTAGCAGGATGATCCAGGTTCAAGGCTCCCATTAAAACCAATTTATTTCAATGATAAAAAGCCCATATAATTACGTATTTAGTTTGTCTTTGTGAAATGAGACAATATCATTACAGAAATTTTGATAATAAAGGACCTTTAAATTTCAAATACTATAATCAAATATAAGCAAGATAATCATGTCATTTTTTCAACCTTACCACATCTTGCTAACATGGATATCTAACATGCTTTTCCTTACGTTCACAGCCAACAATGAGTACTATATGCCTATAGCCTATACATTGTAGAACAGACTGGGGTCGCGATCATGTTCAAAGGTCGTGATGCATGACCCCCTGTGCAAATACCCTCACAGTAACGAATGAAACCTCCCGGACATTCCATAGTGCTGTCAAAATCTCAAAGGACCGCCGCAAAGTTGACAGGTAGTGTGTGTAAATCGGGACCCCGAAAGAATACAAAATAACAGAATAGAGAATACCAAACACATCAAATATGGCTTAAATGTCAAATAGATAAAAATATTAATAGACGATGAACGAATGCACAATAAACATACAGAGAAGAAAGAAAAACTACAGACCCAGGATTCCGATACGGCTCTGGACGGTGACATACACCACGTCCTTGGCAACCAAGTACTCTGGTCGGTAAATCTCCATGCTACCCATCACAAAACCTCCGGGTAAAAACCACACCATGACGGGAAGGTCCGACTTGTTGGCCTGCAAAAAGAAGATCGTTCTTAACACCAAGGAATCCATAGGAAGGGGGGGGGGACCAATCCATAACAGGAAGGTCCGGTTTAAAGGACTGCAAAAAGAAGGTCCATAGTAACTGGAAGAAAACTGCAGGAAAGATACAAAAGAATGTAGAGTAAGGTTTAGATTGAAATAACCAAGGAAACGTAACTAATAAAATGACGGTAATTATGGTACTTAACAACTTGGTACTAATATCAGCAGTAATGCTGGTTAGATTTATAACGTGGTAAGGTATAAAGGATCGTCCATGATTTTCATCATTATCACGAGCGTACAAACCGTCAGCGGGGTGTGTGTGTGTGTTAGACCAGACGTACACTTATTTTTTAATGTGAAAAATGATGATCCGTCAATGGGCGAATCGGCGGCCGTCATGATTCAAATTTCGCGCCATGTCGGTGTTGCTAGCAGGGTTGCCCTCTTTGTAGCAGCATTTCTGGCGTTTTCTAAACATTACATGATAAAGAAAACGGATATAGATAATAGAATTGAACCATACACTATCACATAAATGAATGAATATTGGATTACAGTTACACTGCGTAGGATCAGAATCTGATAATTATAGGATCCCCTGCGTTACTTCCTTGTTTGCTGCAATGCATAAAACAATATACAATAATTGCATCATTAAGCCAATAATGTAAAAACATTTAACAACATTAAATGCACCTGCATCTCTTTATAGAAAATGCATTAGATATATAACAAGAATATGTGACATTGAACCTGTAAGCTTGATTTATCCAAAAACGTATACGACTATTCACAGCGTGTTGCAGGGTTGAAGGTTTAAGTCACTATGAGGCCCAACTGGAAGACCCAGCTGAAGTGACATAGGATGAAATTTCCGCCGCCGTTTCATACCATAATGGCTTGAACAATTTTTATTTGAACATTGGAAAATATCTCAATATTACTTTAAACACTTATCATTTGCATTAAACCATCTGCAGTCATTAACAAAAGAAAAAAAAAATACAGCATATGACAAAAAAGAATTGTAGACACTCTACACTGTCCTGTCATCAGACTCGATTTCAATACAGTGAAAGAACAATATAACAAGAAAGGGTTTTATTTTGACTTCATATAGATACATATAGATAAGGAAATATCGATCCACTATCATTTTTCGTCCACATACGTTAACTTTTAAGGGGGGGGGTTGCTCAATAGTCTCCACTTTGTAGACTTGTGATAATGAAAATTATGGATGACCCCTAAATCAAACAAAACCTTCATCAAATATACAGTACTTTTACTCATTACAATCACATTAAATCAACATTTTAATAGAAAGCAACAACTACCTCAACAACAACAGCAGTAGCATCAGCCTCCGAGCTTTAACCCGAGGACCAGGACTTACCCGAGGTGTAAACACATTGAGAAACAGGCAGTCTTCGCTGGTCTTCAACGGGTAGAACGGCTGCGGACATGCGGGCGGGGCGACGAAGCCGTTCCTCACGCCCTCCCACGCCCCGGCAGGCAAAGGGTCCTGAGGGGGGGGGGAGAGAATGATTTTTTTTTTTTTTTTTTTTTTTATTGATATTGGGTGTTCAGGAGAGAGGAGGCAGGGGAGGGAGAGAGGGAGAGACGGAGGGAGGAAAAGAGGGAGAGGAAGACTTTGGGGGTAGGAAGGGAAAGAGGGAGAATATGGCGGAAGAAGGGATAGAAGAGAAGAGGCAGGATGAGGGGAAGAGGGCGGAGGAGGAGGAGATGGAGAGGGAGGGCAGAGGAGAGAGAGGGAGAAAGAAAAGGAAGGGTGGAAGGGAAGGAAGGAGGAGGGCAGGAAGGAGAATATGGAGGAAGAGGGGGGAATGATGAGAGAGAGAGAAGTAGAAAGGTGGCGAGAGAAAGGAGATAGGAGAAAAGAGGTTGGGGGAATTGGAGGAGGAGAATCAGGAAGAGAAAGCTAAGAAAGGAATGGAGGAAGAGGAGGAAGTAGAGGAAGCAGAGGGGAGGAGATGAGAGAAGGAGGGAAGGAGAGGGGGCGAAGGAGGGATCTCCACTCTGACAGTTCCGCCCCTTTGGCTAAACAGCAGCATCACCGAGGGTCATTAGCCTGTGGGACGCGTAGCCTTTGGCGGAAAATGCTGTAGGCTCATTTGCTAGGCGTGCGTCGGCCTTCGTAATAAGAATATACATGGAACTGCAAGTGCTCAAGGAAAATTATATTACAGCTGATGAAATCAAGCTTGTATAGAGCTCTATCTCTCTCTAAGGTCTTTTCCGATCTCTCTCTACCTCTTTCTATCTACCTCTCTCTCTCTATCTACCCCCACTCTTTCTCTATCTACCTCCCTCTCTCTATCTACCCCACTCTTTGTCTATCTCCCTCTCCTCCCCTCTCTCTCTCTCTCTCACTATCAATGTACCCCCCCCCCCTTGAACCAAAGGCTTGAGAAAAAGATCGGAAGTATCATATAGAACATTTTTTAGCCCTAGCGCAATTAATACAACACTACAATATGTATTTCATATTCACGCACGAATCTAATTGGCTCATATGATTTCTCTTGCATACGTCATTCGCTACAAATCCGTCCGATTTTCCGTCACTCTTAACAACTTTCGTCATTTTGTCGCGGCGCTGGAGGCGGAGTGTAATTGCAGCTCCTGGAAATCGTGGCTTTTATACCCTCTATAACACCCCCATACCTAATTTGAAGAATCTGAGCTTACCCAGTAGTAGAACATATCATTCTGTGAGTTTTCTTCTATACTATTTTCTGCGCAAATTGATAATAACTGTGTTATAAAGGGTATAAAATCCACGATTTCCAGGGGCCGGATTCTCAAACGCGACAAAATGACAAAAGTCGTTAAGAATGACGGGAAATCGGACGGATTCGTAGCGAATGACGTATGCAAGAGAAATCATGAGCCAATTAGATTCGTGCGTGAATATGAAATACATATTGTAGTGTTGTATTAATTGCTCTAGGGCTGAAAAATGTAATTTATGCTCCGCCGTAACACGCTAAGGCTGCTCTCCCTCTGCCTTAACCGAGGGCGCCTTCTCTCGCACCAATATGGCGGGTCCCTTGCTCTGTACATGGGCAGTAAGATCGCTCGTAAGTTAAGGCGCCTTAAGGAGATACGGCGCCTTAACGCGTCTGAGAATCCGGCCCCAGGACCCTCCTTCCCTCCTGCAGCTCGCCTCACGCCCTCGGCAGCGCTTACCTTGAACCTCAGACTCCCGACGGGAGGCTCGGCGTAGGGAATGCCCTGGAAGCTGTAGAAGGACTTCCCTCCCTTGGCCTCGGACCTGCTGCCTTCGATGACGCCCTGCAGGAGCTGCACCGAGACCGTTTCCTCCTCCGCTGCGGCGGCTGCGCTCAGCCACAGCAGGACAGCTGACACCAGGAACCGCATCTCGACCCTGCCGAAGAAACTCGGTTGTACTTCTGGGAAAATGTTTCAAGTGTCAGATTTGACCCGGGGAGTGCCAAAAGTCAAGCCAGGTCACGTGTCCGTGCCTGTCTCCTCGTCATTGCGCAACGTGCTTCCAGCCAGCGGTCAACAGCTGAATCGTGGACTCGCCAGCTTTTGAAGTGATGCAGATAAGGGCGGAAGAGGAGTGGGGGGGGGCTCTATTATCCTCACGTGATGTCACAGACTGTGGTCAGGGTTCTAGATTGCCTTTATTTGTAGGAAGAATGTTCTGTCGAATATTATATATATATTATATATATATATATATATATAATATTATATATATATATATATATATCATACACAGACACACATACACACACACACATATATATACACATACACAGATACATCAATATTTTGTTGAATGATATTATCCTGGTTCCCAAAGAAAAAATCATGACTCAGCAAGAACCACCATAACCCTTCTTAAGCCTATGATGCTAAAGTGTGAAATTTCCATCTACACATCT